ATGATAGCTCTTTTTAATTTATGCTATTCCGGTCGGATTATAGAATGCGGAATATACTTTCCCTATGCCGCTAAATCGGAAATGTCTATTTGAAATGTGGTTCACTATGCCGAAAACTAGTGTGTACCTATTGAAAATGCATAACTATTGTTATTTTTGTCGAATCTTTCATGTAAACTCTAGAAAACTGCAGCTAGTATTCGTAAAGGGAAATGTTCTGTAGCATTAATTTGACGCATTTCGCGAGGCGGGAGACGTATATTTTGCGGTCGTTTTTCCTTTAATCTTTCAATGACACTGGATACACACAAGGACGCGGTTTAGCAGTGGTATAGCTTGTATTTACGGAAACTATCAGTCCTTTGGATAGGCGGTTGATAATTACTGAATGAGGTCCGGATCCGGGTCCAAAGCTTCCGCGGAACGAAAAAAGAAAGCATTTGTGATAGCTATGTTAATTCTTTATTATATCCTGCTTAAGAAGTAGTTATAAGTTAGAATAGATACTTTGTGAACATGGTAAACAAAAATTTTTATGTTGACTTTAACAGAGGCGATTTTGAAAGGCGTATAATAGATACACCTTGTTGGCCCAAGATGGCCTTATATGCCCTAAAATGGGCGATCTAAGACTAAACAGAATTTTTGTGCTTAATGTTTTCTGCCTAAAATACGGAAAATAAATATTTCAATTCAAATGCCATGTAAAATGAAGATACGTTGTTCGGCTGTGAATAAATTACAATTTGCAGCGTGCTACTCAGTCTCAGATCCAGTCTTCATCTCCGACTGTCAGCGTTTTTTTTTTTGAAATGGGGAGACGCCAAAAACCAACAAAAAGCAAAAAAAAGAAAAGTAAAAGCCGGTCTGAAAATAAAAATCAAATAAAAAGGCCTGAAACAAAACCCTGAAACAACCCCTGGACCGATCAAAAACAGGGCAGAACCCTGAAAGAACCAGTGGGTTCAAAATAACATTTGAATCAGAATTGGAAGCATACGGACTAATTCAGAGATCGGTGCTTGAAAGATATAAACTATGGCTGTTTTTAATACAGGGCACCCCTGATCCAGATTAGTCTGAATTTTGGTTTTGTTGAGGGAGAAACACAATGAAGCGAAAAAAAAAAAAAAAAAAAAAAAAAAAAAAAAAAAAAAAAAAAAAAAAAAAAAAAAGAAGAAGAATGAAAGGCCAAACACGCGTGTAGTGCTAAAGAGCGGCGCATGCGTGAAACTCAATACTACCCTACTGAACAAGATAATTGTTCATTCTTTAAAACTGAACTTGAACTCTGTTTCAATCAGCTTCAAGATAACAAGTGATGGTGCTTTAACTTGAACTTTGTGTGTTACTTCTACATTCAAGAGGATTTATTTCATCGTGCCTGCTATTGTATGTGGGTAGAATTTTTGTTATATTCTTCTGTGTTTCGAGGAGCTGGTCTTCCCCTTGATTTGTTTCCTGATTATCCCAAAAAAATAAGTTCAACTTATCAGTTCTGATTTAATTCGACGGCGTCAAGTGTTTTTAGCTCTAGAAAATCCCTCATTGATCGACGTAAAACAAATTTGAAGGCTTAAAGAATCCAAATGGAGACGATATTTTGAAATTCAAGACAATAAGAACAAATAAGTAGCTTTTCCCCCGCTAAATACATTCAATAGGTTTGAGCTTTGAAACGGATTTCTTGTTTTTAGGCGTATTTTTAGAATTTTTTTGTTAATGATTGTTTTTAGACGACTAAGTTATTTGATAATTTGCACAGGTTTCTCAATAATTATTGTAATTCCATTAAATTCTATTAACCCACGCTCTAACCAAATGAACTAAGTGGAATTTTGTTGAATTAGAGCATCTGAAAAAATAATTTGTAGACAAATTTAAAATAATAATACTTTTACAATGGGAAAGTGATATTATTGTATGTATCAAATGGATAATGGAAGAAAAGTTTATGGAATGAGCAACCATTTGTGAAAAAAAACAAACATTAAAATAAAAACCTAAATTAAATAAATAATAAGTTAAGCCGAAATAAAACAAAACACTTATTGGGAATTAACTTAAATAAAGATATATTTGTCATAAATAAATTGAAACAAAAAATTAAATTAAAGTAGAACGAAATAAACATAAGAAGAAATAACGGTTAAAATAAATTAATGAAAAACAAAAACAAAAAACACACACCAAAACAAACAAATCATGAAAATAATCAAAGTCGATGGTGATGGTAGCCAAAATTAATGATAATAATAATAATAATAATAATAATAATAATAAAATAATAATAATAATAATAAAATAATAATAATAATAATAATAATAATGATAATAATAATAATTATTATTATTATCATTATATATATATATTATTTATGTTAATAAAAATGGCATGGTTGTTAGGATGATGATGTTGATGATGCTAATGATGGTGATGATGATAATGATGATGAAGTTGATGATTGTAATGATGGTGATGATGAAGATGGAAATTATGATGATTATGATAATTATGATGATATGTATGGTGATAGTGATGGTGATGGTGACGGTGATGATGATGATGGTGATGACGATGGCGATGACAATGATGATGATGATGGTGATGACGATGACGATGATGATGGTGAAGATGATATTGGTGATAATGCAAATGATAACGTTGATGACGGAGCTGACGATGATAGTGCTGATGATAATTATGGTGTTGGCGATGACGATGATGTCAATGATACTGTGGAAGAAGATGATGATGGTGATAATTAACGGTACTTATAATAAAGATGATGATAAATAACAGTTATAATAAAATTATTTGACTGTGATATCATTAAGAGCAATTATATCAATAAAACTGATAAGATTTAAAATAAGCATTTCATGGTTTAGAGCTGCTAACTTTTAATATTATATATATATATATATATATATATATATACAATATTAAATGTTAGTTAGATCTCAAAGTAATGTATCCTTTTTGGATTTTAAAGTAGCACACTATATCTTTAAAACAAATCGCTTAAGGCACTCAGCTAGCTACTCTCGACGATCCACCAGACAAAGCCGATCGCTTAATCTTTGAATAAGATTGTTTGTTTTTAACATTTCCGATCAATCTCATGTAGAATCTTGAAATCACCACCGGCGTCTTATTTAAGATTCGATGTTCAAGGTCAAACATCTCAGTCGTTGGTGCACCTCAAAGGCAAAAAAATGAATGCTGATTCAAAATAGTACCTTTTTTTCAGAGTCGAGAAAACATAAGTTAAAGATGAATATACAAAAATCATTATTGACAATACTTCTATTTTTGTTCATTGTTGTAGAAGGTAAGTGATGTGTCTGGCTTAGAGATTTTATTATTTTTGAATCAATATTTTCTCATTACCTCTCTCGTACACTCTTTCTTTCATCCTTTTTACCTTCCTTTTTTTCGTTCGCTTGCTCTGAAGCTCTGTCCCTGTCTCTGTCCCT